AAAGGGCGTTACCGTAAGATTACAGTAGTATACATTACAGTGGTCAAAATGAAGGATTTGTACGTGGTCTGATTAATTGGTAATTGTTATGATTTTAAAATGAACAGCGCATAAGCCCTCACTGTAAAATTAACGTGGGATGTAAATGTCAAAATCACTGATCGACTGGGAAAGAAAAATTAGGAAGTTCTATGTCTACCGTGCGAAGGGATATAGGGAGAAGGTGTGTTTCTAATTAATCACAATGTCAATCAACCCCACTAGACTCTTCTTAAATATATCAGTATTTGAAACAGTATCGTATACCTTCCGTAATTCTATAGCGAAATCGAGGGAATGGTAAATTTCTGTCCTTGTCAATCACCCCACCAGGTGGCATTATTGCAGCTCCGAGTTCCTCGCGATGCACAAAATTTGCTTTTTTTAACCCTCTGAAAATACATTTTGACTTTTCCAATTTCAAACAGAATCTAACTTGTGAAACATTGAGTACACAGACCAAAACAGATAACATTAACATCAAAAATCTAACAAACGAATTTATGTTTGAAATTAATAAACCCAAAAAATATAACAATTTCTAAATTTTCGCATGTTGCACAATTTGCTGCCAAAGCTTTTGTCTTCTTAGGATATTTTGAGTTCAAAAAAAAAAAAAAAACAGCACACTTATACTACAACAGTATATTCCAACGGAAAATGTTATAACTTGCTCGTTTGCTGCTATCTCGACAAAGAGAACTTCGATTCAAAAATTCTTCTCCGAATCCCAGTGCTAAGCGTTGCGGTGATCATGGAGTCTAAGAGGTTGAGCGGTGATTTTTTCAAATGTCTCTACATGCGCGTTTTACATCATGACAAAACCTAATTTCACGACTTCAAAGCTTTTCAACAACAAAAGCAGTATAAACAACTACCTTCTTGATTTTTGCAGTAAAGACAAGATCCCATATGCGTTTACAAAGATCGACGTCACGTGCATAACATTTTCGATTTTATTTTTATTTCAGGTGTATTTCATCTCTGATCCACCTTTTTCTTAACTGTCCTCAAACCTAGAAACTATTTTCGTTTTCGCGGCGCCAATAACTTTCTTCTCACAATTATCCCTTTACACAGGGTCTGCTATTCGAGTCAAACTCTTCCACTTTATTCTGTTCAAAGCATAGCGCTCATCTATTCCAAGACTTCTTAGGTCCGATCTAATCTTGTTCCATCTCATTTTTGGTCTCTCTCGTGGCCTTTTACTCAGCACTTCCATTGGCAGAGCCATTATTGTTATGTGGTCCTCTTCTCTCCTACCCACATACCCATACCAGCGCAAACGCCTCTACTGCCTGTTCTGGACGATTGGAGCAACCTTCATTCGCGCTCTAAGTATGTCGTAACAGATGTGATCGTTCATCGTGAGACCTAAGGTCCCGGCATCCTAGTGTTAACGACACCAAACTTGCTTTCCTCTTTTCGCGTGCTCGGCAATATTCACGGCCATAGAGTGCTGTCGGACAGATCACAATACGATACATCTGTGACTTAAGACGTAACGGCATTCGTTTGTCATAGGACGCCTGTCAAGCTCCTCCTCTTCAACCAAGTTGCACTTGTTCTGACCGACAGTTCGCCTATAACTCCCTCTTTTGCAGATATGTGGCTTCTACTGACCAACTTCGTTTTCTTTATTGGCTCGCCACTGATGTATATGGTTGGGAGATTTTGACTTTCCACCTCCATATTTCGGTCTTCGTGCTGAGCGCCAAGCTGTGCAGTTCCAGTTGGTTTTTTCCATCTCTGCGCCTCTTCTACAAGCTCCTTCCTAGTGTCTGCCGTCCAGGTCACATCATCCTCGTAGAGGAGAGCCTATGACGG